TTTTTTATTCTACCAATGTTAACTTTTTAAATGGTCTTTCATTCCAGTCCTCCAGTTTTTTAGCAACCACTTTCCATTAAAAGTGTTCTACACTGAGCCAAAATTCTCGTTAGGCTTTTGAATAAGAAAGATGTTACAATCGTTTCCAATATATCAATCTTTCGTTTATAATTGTGGGTGGGCCTTACACATTATCATTACAATTGCAATGGAACGATCTGCAGAGGGAGGGAAGTCAGTTACCTTATCTATTAACGAAGATTTCAAGTAACTGTGTAAATAAAATGATAAGTTAATGGAAGAACTTTTGTAGTTGGGACGAGAAAGAATGCGCCACGACGAGTCGGTGTTGCGTTGTGCTATTGACGAATACATAGAAAAACAGCATTTGCTTTCTAAGCTAAATGATACTGAACCAGTCCAGTAATATTAGTGTAATATTATGAAGCTGTTTTGTTTTGTGTATTTTATGTAAATCTCTTGAATAAATCACTTCAAAAACAGTGAACTACTATACAGGGTAGGACGGAAGGAAGTACTGGAGACTTTGGCTGAGAAAAATAAGGCCTTAAAAAAGATGTTAATATAGTAGCATTTAGAATTAGTGCAAAGTTTTATGAGGAGTAATCGCCGAAAAGTGTGAATGACACTAAAACTTCGGAACTGTACAGAAGTGATTCCTTTTTTTTTTACGGTTATGATGTCTTGAGCTCTAGTACTTGACCACTTTTTTTATCTTATGAGTTACCAAAAAAAAAAGCTGATAAAAAAGTGGGCATAGTAAGCAGTTCGACTTCTAGTGTGAGATGCTAAATATTTTATCCTGCATTAGTGTACCTCTATTTAGAAGCAGTTTTCAAGTGTCTAGAAGGCAAGATGAAGGGAAATTTTTGTAAAATTTTACATGTACTGTGTAGCTTTTTCCTCGGTAGTGTTTGTTTTAAATGCTATATTTCTGTACAGCAAGTGTTTGACGTAATGTATGACGTTATTTCACAGGGCTTGGGTCATAAATTTTAAATGTTCATGAACAATTCATTAGCTAGTTTGCATCTCCAAAACTCTTTTGTCTTTTACTGTCGAATAATAGACGCTGGTTTTTTAATGCGGTGACAGGCCAAGCGCTCCGTTTCGGGAGTTTGCGTGCTGCTGACGTTCTGTCGGCCAGCTCTGCAATCTTTTATCGAATAAGAACACTAGACCCTCGCTGGAACCACTCTTTTTCTGTTTCCGTCTCTGTATCCAGGAGTTCCCAGCAATGCATCACTGCATTCTCGATCAATTAGTTACTGTCGATTTAAGTGTCACCTTCCTCTTTGTAGTGAAGCTATTTTTGTTTCTTTGGGCTTCAAGCCCGTCCTTTTATAAGGTTTCTTTGCAGTAAGATCTCGTAATGTTCGCAAGTTTTACCTCATGTATTTTTAAAACAGTTGAAGTAAATAAATATCTGGCTTGAAATGACAAATGTAAATCTTGCTCCAAATTTCAGCTTGCACCCGCTAACGAGCTCCCCGTCGGCGCGAGTAAATGCGGTTGCTACGTTTGGAGTTTCTAAAGGGAGATGTTGGTCGACATTAGACGCAGCGTTCCTATTACGTAAAAAAGCTCTGCTACCCTCTAGAAACTACAGAATAACCTGTATGCTATAGTTTCAGATCCAAGTGAGAACTAAGAGTTTGGTAGGCATTCTAGTAAAGGCAGTTCCTCCCCAGAAGTAAAGAACGACTTTGTCGCTTTTTTGTCAAATGATCACTGCTTCTGGCGTAGTATTACTAATCTTGTAGCATCAGGAGGTAAAATATCTCAGGAACCCAAAGTAGAGCGACAAACATTCAGAAATATTTCACTGCTAGTAGTAAGCAAAACCACTTCCCGGAAAGGATTTATTGGTGATTTCCAAATTCCACTTCAAGCATTCCAGTAACTTTTTATATGACACAGAAAATTTCCAGCTAGGAGTGACGAAGATAAAACTAACCAGTAGACTTCGAGGATAGTATTAGACAATTATGCTCCTACAAAATGCACGGAAACACTAAAAGTTTGAATACGAAGTGCAATTTAACGTGTTATTTGACTACTGGCCTATCCTTTAACAAAGTTCACTCCTTTAGCAATATTTTTCTTCAGCTCCGGAATTGCCTTTTCCAGCAGCTGCTGTTCGAAGGAGTTCAATGACCCAACTCCAAGAATCTTTTCAACACCTTTTGGCTAAAAGTTGATTTGTTAAGATCTAGTGATTGAATTTCAAAATTAATAAAGATTAGCCAGCTAGAAAGAAAGCAGAAACTCACTCCCAACTGTAAGGGCGTCGAAAAGTAATCAAGTCCCTGTACTGCATCAGAACGTACATAAGCACACTTGACATTGTTTTTGCCCTTTAATCCATCCACAAGACCTTCTACAAATCGAGCTGCTGCTACAGCCATTGAAAGCGTAGCAGAACCCTAAAGATATTTCAATCCTTTACAGGGAACCGGTGTTTTTCATTTCATATAAAAAATGAACTTAAGTCTTACGCCTCCAGCTTTGGCCTTCACTACTTCAGTGCCTGCATCTTGAATGCGAGCTGTTAAGCTTTTTGCTTCTTCATCAGTAAAAGTACATGAGGGTTTAGTTTGAGATAAACATGGGATAATTGTTACACCTGAGTGGCCACCAATTACAGGAATGTTCGTTTTTGTCACGTCCAACCTCTGAAAATAAAACTAATTTGAAATTACATGAAGTACGATATGTGTAGAAGTCCTGAGTGTTTTTCCAAAGTCCTCTAACAAATTAAAAATTACTTTACAATTTTAACTCAAAAAATTTCTCAGTTAAATGCTAGTAAGGTGCGATTTCCCCAGCAGTTTGTCCTCAAAACTCCCCATAACATAAAGAGTCATCTTAAGACCACTTTTTTAAAGCTGCTGAACAATTAAAGTGGAAACTCCAGCAGGAACCTTATTAACATAATAAACTATTAACTTCAGCATGAGCGAGAATGCCAACTTAAAAACTAGGAGGTGTTAGACAGAAACCTTAAGCTCGGCAATGAAACATTGTGACCGAACAATGTCGAGATACGTTACTCCAAATATACGTTTTGACGCATCCACTCCGCACTTCTTAAACACTTCATATGCGATCGGTACAGTGGAATTTACTGGGTTAGTGATTATTGCCATGAATGCTTTAGGACATGTTTTAGCTGCTTGCTCACATAAGTTTTTCACAATACCAGCATTTGTATTGAATAAGTCGTCCCTTGTCATTCCTTTAATTTTCCTAATTACGAAAGAAATTGTTTATTGATAACCGGTGCAAAAAAACTACTAACCAGGTTTTCTAGGAACTCCAGCAGGGATTACAACAATATCGGCTCCTTCTAATGCTCCAGTGAGCTCCTTTTCTCCGGTATGTGCACTAATCTAAAGTGCTATTTTGATTAATTATTATACAAGTTCAAAAGAATTATGAATGTTGCAGTCATTCAGGAACAACATCATACGAACAGATGCTGTACACGCATACTGCAATTCTATTGCGATTATATGTACCAGGTAAATTTCAATCTTTTCAGAAAGTTACCAAGTGTCAAACCGCCAGTTAATTCAAAAACAAAAAAATTTTAAAGTTGTTGATCTATTTATTTTTAAGTAGAAGAGGATAAAGCCAGTGTTTTTACCTTGGCAGGTGAGTCGATATGCGACAAGTCAGCCGCAACACCTGGAGTATTTACCAAATCATATAAAGCTAACTTAGCTATAGCCGGATTCTGCTTCAGTAAAAGCCCCAGTGGTTGTCCAATTCCTCCACTGGCACCCAGCAAAGCAACCTACAAACTTTCAGTTTTACCTTGAAGCCAGATAAGGCCAGAAAACTATAGTACCAGAGACTCCTGAACATTAAAGTTAATCCGGCGAATAAATTAAATAAGTAGTCACATTGATTAGCCGAAAGAAATCTTGGTAAGATTTATCAATGTGACTTCTGAAGCGCACTTAAAAGCAATGAATGAGAGGCAAGATCTATGTCAACTTAAATCGCTTTTTATCCCAACGTTATGGACTTTTTTCGAACTATTCAGCATGAATATAATCGCGCCTCTGATTTGCAAAACTGAAAAAACCACCTCACCAAAATGTTCTATAGAAAACCGACACCCTCCCTAAAAATAATTTTAAAAATTCGCAACACTTTTTTCTGTTCACAGAATTAGACGTTTTCAGAGCCGTTTTAAAGAATATATTCCTAATTTCTTATACATTATTGGGTCATCTTCCTTCACGAACTATAAAAGCAATATAGTTTTTCTCTAAAACAAAATAAATAGATAATGCCCAATCAATATCTTCTATGAGACACATTCCGTACAAAATTATCTCCTCTCCAGGATGCAACAACTTCTGAGTAGCAACAGGTATGGAGAAACTGCTTATGTAGGAAATACCGGAGTCAAGCCACAATAAATGCACTGAAATCCGTTTTTTGGCTAATTGTGCATTCAGCTTAGCAGCTCAATAATGCAGCACAAGTCCAGAATCGCCGTTTTCCACTACAGTAATACAGTAACGGCTAAATTTTCCACTGTAATGGAACTAAAAATTTTGTGTTCCAGTGAATTTTTTCCGGCTTCACTTCATTTCTTCTTCCCTAACGCATTTGCTCACCACAGCCTCAATTTAAAAACTACTGTGTCTTTTCAAAGAAGAAAACTCATACAAAACGCATTCTTATTGAGAAAATCACATAAACAATGTTTCTATAGCTTTCTATAGCACATTTTGAAATGGATGTTTTGCGTGGTTTTTGTAATTCATGACGGAAATAAAAATTTAAAAAAGATTTAAAAGTAAAAAACACATTATTTATATTCCTTAAAATGGCTCCGGAAGTGTTACTACCTAATTCTGTGTAAATTAAGAAAGTTACAGTTTTCCAGAGCTAACCATGCTCAACCAATGTTTAATAAATTCGAGCGCTTAAAGGAAGTGTCGATACTCCCCGAGGTCAATTAATAAGGTAACTTGTTCAGTTCTATAAGCTCAGAGCTAAACTTTATCATTCAGTTGCAATTAAGAGAAATCTAAATGTAGGCGATTTGATGTGAAATGGCCTACTAATATTATGCCAACCTTGGGAGCTGAACTGCTGAAACGTTGACTTAATGACATGACTGAACTGAGAGCGTAAGGAAGAGATCTTGCACCGGAAAAGGCCATTGCCACTCCTGAAAGACTTTACCCGTTAGCTTGTGTTACAATATTAAAAGTTCTAAGTGGTGCAAATGAATATCACGCCTTTCATAACAACTAATCAAGCATCACTTTTCAAACAAACGTTGGCTATCAAGATGCCTAGAAAAAGGTCAGGAAATTATTTGCTGAACAGGCTCCTAAAAATTTTTCAATCTTAACATTAGATATACACTTTGTAAAACGGTCAATAAAACCTAATTGCGTACTAGTTATCAAACAAAACGAAAACATGATCAAAAAGAAAAAGATAATTCAAATAGATCGTGGACTGATACTGTAGTACAGCCATCCGATATACTGAATACTCAAACCAGTTTAAAGTAGTTTTAAAGCATAATTGAAAATTTTATAACGCATAAGCAACTTTTTACGTTATATCAACAGATAAAATATCGTTCATCTTCTAATAATCAGAAATTACATTGCACGAAATTCGCTCAGTGTATCTAAACAGTAGTTGCTTCGGCTTTTATAACTGGAACTTGGAATTTATCTGAGATGAGCCCGTCTGATCACAAGTAGAATAAATTCTTGTAATAAATGAAAGCTGAACAAGTACTCTGATGTCTGCTTCCCAGCCAACAATCAATAATTCCGTCCCACCTGATGCATCACACTTAAAAGCTTATAAAGTCTAGCATCTTTCAGAATCTAGGTGCCGCGTCCAGACTGTTCAAAACTGCAACTACTGTTTTTCTTGACCACTTTTACTGCCAATTTCGCTCCTCATCATGTTTGGTAAGTAGTAAAAGACCAACACCTTCGTGGCTTCTCTCGTCCAAACGTTTTTGTAAATGCTTTTCAAGTTAATTTCCTACTCATTATCAACCGCTAAATACATTTACACCTCCATTAAAATGCTCTCCTAGGATCGATCTCGAAATTATTATCATCACTAAAAATAATCGACAAAGTCCAAACGCTTGCAACTACCAGTATACTGCCAATCAGCAAACTTGCAGTTTGAAGTTCAGAATTAAAATTTAAAGTTGATAAAAAAGAATGTTTCTGAATACAGAAACAATAGTTAAACTTTTTCTATGATTTGCATTGGTCGATTGAAAACCGATAAATGAAGCAGATCCAATAGAATGTCTCCAAAATTTTAAAAAGTAAAAGATTAGGCATAATACAAAAAATTTACCAGCCTTTGAATAAGACTGAAAAGTTAGTTAATTTGGGTAAATCAACCTCTTGAATAAACAAGTAGGCAGCTAGTCAAAAGTGTACTAACACTTCACAGTTATGTACATAGTCAATAAAAGTCCCCCTTTTGTGAGCTAAAAGTCTCGATTTAAAGAAAAAAAACAATATTTGTCTCAATTCCATTCCTGCATACTGCACCTACCATTGCATTTGTAACGGCCTTAAATGTATAAAATGGAGGGCTTCTTCCTATTTGTGGAATTATTAAACTTAATTTAAACAGTCATTTAGAAGATAAGAAACAGACAACAACAGATGTCATTATCGGTAGCTGACGCCAGTAGTTTTATAGTTGCAAAAATTTCATTCTAAAAAGTTTATTCATTCAGTACAAAAATAAAAATAAGGTCAGTTGTACCAAATATTGCAAGCAAGAAAAACGAAATGCTTTAGAGATCTCTCTGAACCAAAGATTAAAATGTCGCACTGACGCTCAATAATGCCGCAGTTGTGAATTTTAACATCAATGAATTTTCATTGATTTTGATTACGTCATTGGCTGTAAAAGTTTTTTCAACATATATTGAAACATAAAATAGCCGTTCTTAAGTTTAAAGCAATAAAATTAGTTACCAACTAATGGGGAGAAAATGCGAACAATAGATTCTGCAACTAATAATTCATACATTTTTGACCACAAAAAAAATTAAAGAAAAAATTTTTAAACATGTAACACGAGCACCTCTGCAGTTGTTAGATAAAATCTAAAATAACAAAGTTAATCGACTCCGTCACTAGTAAAATTGTCTCCTAAAAAGATATACAGTACAATCTTTTTTTTTTTTCTCATGACTACCTCGGTTCGGCGTAAACAATTCTGTTGAAGCTCTGCTATACAGTCTAACTAATTATCAAATTTTATAAGAAATATAAACGTTGACCGTATGCTGTTCAACCTGTAAACTTCCTTCTTTAAATTTTAAATATGCAGTTTTAGTAAATGTATTTATTTAAGCATACAAATCTCCATACATCAAAAAATTGATTTAAAGACTAAGTGAACCGATGATGCTTTTCACTTACTCTTTCTTTTTACAATCAAAAAAAAAAAAGCTAAGTTCCTCCCGTCTCCATATATTTTATTGCAAAAAACAAAATGATTGTTTACTAAGTAGACCAAAGGTTTCAGTCAAATTTAAGCATAAAAACTTCTACTCTTGAAGTCTAAAAGAAAAGAAAACAAAAAGCCTAATATAGAATAAATTTAACATTTAAGGTTGACTTCAAAATTCAACATCAGTTATTTGCGACTAGCCAAATGATGCATCTTCAAGTAGCTTCAAAACGATGAGAAATTTCATGACGTAATTTGATTACAACCAATTTTTTTTTCTACTTCTGTTACTAAAAAATTGCAAAGCAAAATTTGGAGAAAAAAAACGACCTATGGGCAAAAAAGTTTTACGAATTTTAAACTTCAAGAGGCGCTGATCCCATATATATCATGATTTCTAACCGACATCACGCATTATAAATTTCTCAGAGCCAGCTTCAGCAATATTCCCAAGAATATTTTATCAATTACCAATCTGTGTTGTTTTACAACTTAAAAATTGTCATTAATCTGTGTGGAATAACAATACGTCAATCAGCTGAAACAGAAGAAAATGAAGCCGGGAGAAAAAAAGCAGAAAGAGAATTAAAAATCCAGGAAAAGAAGCAATTAAAATCGATAATGAAACGCAGACGGAAAAACAGTTGATGTCTATGCAGCTGACGACGAACTGAACAGAATGTGATGATCGTTATATCAATGTTGCTATCCAAATGCCGATACGTGCCACTTGCGAAGACTGATGTTAGAGCAAGAAAAAAAACTCGAAGGAAAATAGATAAATAGGTTGGGAAAGGGAAAAAAAATCTTTGGTATAAAAAAAAGAGAGAAGGAACAAATTGTTAGCACCAAGAAAAGAACAAACAAACAATGAACCTTAAGCAAAAATCTGCAAATCGATGAGTATCAGCGGAAGTTTATCAAAAACTTCAAAAACTCCACAGTGGTCTGTTTTGCAGAATTCAGTTACGTTCTGTCGCCTATTATCTACGCTGTTCGTATCAAGGCAAAAATGATTGATGCTCTTTGTTGATACAGAAAGTAGTAGTTTGATCGGTCTCTTAAGATGACCTGTTAGCTTCAGTAAATGAATTAACAGTGCTTAATTCATACATCATTTCAAAAATAACAACGAAAAAAAA